CAGCAGATGGTTACATGTATTCAAAGCACACACCTAATAATGTAAACTATATGCCTTAGTACAATGTAAAATGGCGAATCCCGTTAAAGGAAAAAAAATCCAGACCCTGTCCAGTTGTGATGATGCAGACAAAAGCAGTTTTATACTAGTCTGTAAGGACTGTGACCTGCTGTTCAAGTGAGCCTCAAGTGGTCATTAATGGGAACTGCATTTATTTGCACTAAGCATTATCTTCATTTTTTAGACCTGGATGCTTCCTTTGAAAAGAGATTTGGTGGTCTAGTGAATATTTATACAGCCAGCTTTTCCAGTTTATAAAAATCTTTAGTGACTGCATTTCTCATTGTTTCTCAAAGGAAAACAAAAAGGAAAAGTTGGTAAAAGTCAGTTTTCTAAGGTGAGCCTGACTCCATCATGTCAGTGTAGCTGAGTGACGTTCTTTCCTGTTTTGTTTCCGTCTCTCTCTGTAGTCCAAAGCAGCCTATGTGCTGTTCTACCAGCGCCAGGACACAGTGAAAGGCACCGGCTACTTTGCTCTCGACCGAGAGGAGGAGGAAGAGGAGGAGGAAGATGAAGAAGAGGAAGGGGAGGATGAGGAGAATGAGGGCGAGGAGAGGAGGGAGAGAAAAACCGCCTTGTCCGCTCAGGGAGCCTTGTCTGCTGCCGCTGCCGCCGCCGTTCAAAGCGACGACGAGGACCCTAATGAGAACCAGTGCAGGAAGAACGACGAAGAGCAGGAAGACGAGGAGGAAGAGGAGACGGCAGAACAGGCACCCAATCGAGACGTCGCAATGAAAACCAACTGAGGGAAACGAGGACATGAATATATATATAGAGAGAGAATGGGATCTTTCCATCCAAAGCCATACGGACACACGGCGTGACAGCGGGCGCCACTGGTCCCACCCAGCGGCTCGGACTTAGCTGCTCGACAGGAAGAACCACTGCGGGGACATCAGCTGTTGGGTCAGGGGGCTACAGGGGTACGCAACTCTAAGAAATCAGGGCCCTCCTCTGTGGTTGGATCACTGTGTGTGTTTGTGTGTGTGCGTGTGTGGCCACGTTCGTTTGTTTAGAATTTGCTCACTTGCTCTCTGAGAAGAGTCACTAAACAGCCGGGATCTTTTTTTTGTTTTTTTTTTTTTTTTTACAGCTTTGAATCTCAGTTTTATTATTTTTTTAAAGTACATATCTCTAAGAGGAATGCATTTTTGGCATATCATTTTAGCATCATCGTTTAGATTTTGTAAATATTTTAAACACTGAACTGTACCGAGTTTTCATGATGCGCTGAAACATTTTTGAACTTGCACAATCACCAACCATCCGCCCCGCTTTTCTTTTCTTTTTTAAAAATTTTAAATGTATCGATGCCAGACATACTGCAACTTTGTGTCAGAGAGTTTTCTCACATACAGAGCTTAGGGAGCTGCCTCTAGAAAGCCAGTGCTGAGACGCCACTACACTAAGAAATAATGTTGAGAATTGACAGTCGTTGCTGTGTGGGCTTTTTTCTTTTCTTTTTTTAAATAGCCATCCAGCCGAGCTAGCTCTGTCATGCTGCTGCGATCTTAGATTTTTACACATGATTAGCATACTGACATGAGCCTTGGCGAACTTAAGATCCTGCTTTTGCTCTGTCTATAGTCCTCTCTGTTTATAATTCTTCAGTAAAGCAGGACTGAGATATTGCGTGGCTAACTTTACAAAGAAACCACACTGTATCTCTCCATATTTTAAATATTAGGAAATGCTCTTTTAGAAGTTTATATCCGGAAGTCAAACCTATATGTAGTGAAGTGCTGTTTAAGGAGTTAGCAGAGATTCTTTACTCCTCTTCACCCGCTCCTGAAGTTGTACTTCATTAGATGGTATTTAAAGCTTTATTGTGGCTACGTTCTTAAGATTTTAGGCACTTTGAGATTAGGGACATCGGTGATTTCATTGTCTCTCGTTTGAATCGCCTCGGCCTTAACTCTTAATCTCAGACCAGTCGCCTTTTCTTTGCACACGGCCGTCACACCATCTCTCGATATTACGCGAGCACTCGTCTATGAATGTCCATGTTACTTGCTTGATATCTCCCAGCCACGTCACACCAGTTTCTTTTAACCCACAAGAGGGCCAGAATGTATGCTGAATGAACCAGACCACATGTATGTGACTGATGCCTTTTAAGTCATCCTTTCTTTCTTTCACTTCTCCCCACGGCCCTTTCGAGTTTGAAAGGTGATGGAAATGGGTGTTCTTTGCATTTTATATTACCTGTATGAATTTCATGGGTATTAGCTGAATGCGTTCCTTCTTTGTGGTCCTGAGCTTTGAGGAGGAGAGAGGGAGACGAAACTTAAAAAAAACAAAAACAAACAAAAAAACATTTTGGGGTGAGTGTGCCTAAAAGGCCTTTCAGCTTCTCGGGATCATGATACAGTGAAAATATTTTGTGGCACATCGTTGGCAGGATATTCCTCCATCGACGTAACTCGCGGTAAAACTCTATTCTCCATGGTGGAGTGCGATGTTTTCTTTTCTACCTGCTCTTTCCATTGTAAACAGCATTAGCGGATCTGTTGTTGCCTCAGAATATTAGATGTGTAACATGCCTTTAAGAGCATCTCTGTGCTTCGACTTCAGGTGGCTTTACCGCCTCAGTGCTGCCTTGCTTTTTGGGCAACTCACCCCATCCTGAGTGAGATGTGATTGCTACTATAGGCTTATACAATACTGTACATAAGAGTTCACTCTGTGAGTGCACATTTGATAAAATTTATTTATTTATATGTAAGCATTTAATAATAAACAATATATTTAAAACCTTGGCAAGACGTGAAATGTCGGGGGTAACGTGGCTCGAGTCCACACATACACACTAGTTTGCAGAGTCTTGCCTGTGCTCTCGTCAGGGAGGGAATATTTTTTAAACAAAGGATGATTCTGTTTTGGGACTTTTTTTGTAAAGATAATCCAGACATCCTTGCATGATGATGTATGGGCTGAGGGTGGTGGGTGGGGAGTTACCAGGTTTGGCTGCACTTGAGTTCACTTGGGTTTACATTTGAAATGTGCATGTGTATTTATACACAATCTTCAATAAAGTTGTGTAAAGCTTCCCGTGCTTCTGCCTGGTGGTTCACTTTCTTGACCAACTTCCATAGCTGCCCCACATCTTTGACTGTATTATTTTATAAATAAGAAAAATAAGAAAATACAAATCTGTTTGTGCCCTTTGCGTAACATAGTTGTTAAATTACCAGATACTTCAGATTCTGGAACGAAATGTATAAAATAACAGGTTTATTTATTCAATGCTGTGATTGGTACACATTCTGTTTAGAATTTACATTTTTATAAATATTTTACATAGAGATGTAAATGTGTATCAGAAACACGATCCAACTCCTCTAAACACATCGCTTTTTCCTACGTTGGGCTCTCTAAATACATTTTGAAATTATAATTAATGCAATGCTGCTATGCTTTGGATAAAAAAGGCATTTTAAAAATGTGCAGCATTCAAAGCTGCTCTGGTAGAATAAAAATATGAATCTGAATATTAGTACAACAGGTCGCCTTTAACACCTATGGTCAGGAAAGCATGCTCAGCTCATATCCCAGCAGTAAGTGATCTCACTGGCGTTCCCTAAAGAATGTGATCATCGCTATGAGCCATATAAAGGAAGGCTGTCATGCTTCCCTTTGTTTTATCCTCTGCTCTCCATCTCCTAGTACGATCTGAGCAGGAACACGGTGTTCTCTCCCCGGTTCCTCCGGGTTATCCGGACGCTTAAAGCCAAGGCGGTTCTATCGAGAAGAGGCTCGTCCTTCTGACCAATAGGAGAGAGGAGAAGGAGGATCGGCTGTGAGCAAAGCGCCTCACTCCGTCAGAGAAAAGAGAAACCCAAAGAGAAACGTGCTTTGCTTGTTAAGATTGGACGTTAGAACGCGCTGACATTATAAGGAGGCTATGAATGACAGGGATGGATAGTCTGAAATCTCTCTCATGAGCATAAAGTTTTCATTTTTCTGGCACTTCACAATTTTTAATAGACGACGGCTACAGTCTGGCACATCTTTAAAAACACCTTCGTCTGTGTTTCACCAGCTGGTGGCGCCCTCTGACAGTGTGCCCTCTCCTGCTGGTGTTTGAGAAAGCAGTCAGAGGTGGACCTCTGCGTTTTCTCCAATCTCTGTTCGTGGCTACACCCGTCCTGACGTTCCCCGCGAATTTTATCCACGGCGCTCCGCCACATCCACTCATTTTATTTGATTTTTTTTAGTTGGGGGGAGGGGGCGCACACACTACCTGACGTGCTGTCGGAGGCAGAAAGGTTAGAGCGAAGCGGGTCTGCTGTTTGGATTCGGACGGCTTTCTGCCCTTTAAACCGCGCGGATGTGATGGCTGGACAACTTTGTGCTCACGGCGCGGAGACCGAAGCAGACAACAATAGGCTCTAATGCAGCCTGCTGCAGTTCGGCCGCAAGGTGAAGGTCCGCGTGAAGAGCCCGTGGATCGTTTGCGTTTTCTCAGATCCAACAAGTCCGGCAAGGTAAAAATTTAAACAGAATTACAGGAAGTGGTTTCACTTTTAGGTAATCTCTTTCTTTCAAATACCCCCCCCCCCCAAAAAAAATGTGTTGCTCTCAGAGCTAAAAAAAAATATTTTGGGGGGTAAATGGTTAGTATCGTGGTTTGTGGTGATTTGTGCCTGAATATGTTTTTATATAGCGTGCAGTCACTCATATTGTTCTAATTAAAACAAGATTTAAAAGCAGGATTTCGTGTTTCTCTCTCTCTCTCCTTTTTTTTTTTTTTTTTTTTTCTGATGCCTGTTTCGGCTAGGAGGAGGCAAGAGTGAAATCACCATTCACCTGATTTACACTATTTTTTTTTTTTTTTTTTACATGAATGGCACCGTGCCACTCCACGCGCCTCGCCGCCCCTACCTGCCACATTTTTTCCCCTCTCTATTTGCTCTTTTTCTTACCACCGAGGTCAACCGAGGAGAGCGTGTGTGCAGGAGATATGGGAAATGTACGGGAGGTGTTTTTTTCCCCCTCTCCTACTATGGGTGGGGTTTTGTCTCGCTTTATTGCGGCCCCGTTTTAGGCGTGCGCCATTTTCCGTGCGCTTTTACGCACGGGGACGCCAATAAAACTGATAGTCTGATTAAATCTGGAACGAAGAGATTTTCCACAGAAAAGCGCATCCCTGGTGCCAAGTTCTGGCTGAGGTAGTAGTTTGTGCTGTTGGTCGGGTTGTCATATTACCCCTTGCGGAGATGACTGCGCAATCTACTGCCTTGCCGGCGCTGGTGACTTGCAACGAGGGAGCCAACCGGATCGACGTAAAAGCCTAAACCCCACTTTACATCGTTCAGAAAAAAAAGTGACGGAATAAAAAAAAAAAAAAACCCGCATGCTTTCAAGAAAATTCAAATACTTGTGTGTGATATAAATGTTAACATTTCTTGAAATAAAGTATTTTTTCCAAAGCTTGCATCACGTGCATTTGTGTATATCTGATTCCACATCTTGTTATAATTAATGTTCTGCTTAGACATTCTTATTTCTCACGGGGTTGGGGTGTTAAAGCACAGATGGAATTAAAGATGCCAGTCCCATTAAGTGTCTTAGCAAGCATTTATGGTAACCTAATGCTGTACCATATTATAAATTGTGTTATAGCTCCAATGCAAAGTAGATATAGGGCCAATTTTGCCGATACCAGTGCTGATACTCGTACTCCCTTAACAGAACATATAACCCCAATTCTTCATCAGCTTCACTGGTTTCCCATAGAAGCTAGGATAAACTTTAAAATTTTAGCTCTCACATTTAAGTGCATCCATAACCTTGCCCCTCCTTATCTGTGTGATCTGCTTCATATTACCACTGCTTCCTGCTCTCTCAGATCTTCATCTGCCATTCATCTTGTTCCCTCTGCTCGTCTTGTCACTATGGGGAACAGAGCGTTCAGTCGCGCTGCTCCTCGGCTCTGGAACTCACTTCCTCCAGTCATAAGAAATATAGATTCCCTTCCCTTATTTAAGTCACAGCTTAAAGCATACTTGTTTAAACTGGCTTGCTCGCTTTAATACAGATTTTACCTTTTCAAAAAAAATGTTTATTTTTTGTATTTTAAATCTATTTAAATCTGCTGTTTTATTGATATCTTTCTTCTCTTTGTAAGGTGACCTTGGGTTTTAGAAAGGCGCTCTCAAATAAAATGTATTTCTGCTCTTCATGTATTTAAAAAAAATTTTTTTGGGGGGGCAGCTTCTGTTTAAATGTGCTGTAGGCTCTAAATAAAATGGATGTGACCGTCAACGCAAAGAATTTTCATAGTGTGCGTTTGAGGTATTTTCTTTAATTATTGCCAAAAAAGTAATTTAATGAAGTGGGCTACATACTAAACTTAGAGGATAGGAAAATAGTATCAATCCAATCCACCAATACCAGTGTTGGTATCGATACTGTGGCTATTTGGATCAGTCCGCCCACGTCTACAGCATTCACTAAAGCAGGACAACCTTCAAGTGCAGCTGTCATCAACACACTTCGACATTTCCTATTGTGGCATATCAGAATGTGTGCTGTGAAGAAAAAAGGGGAGTGGGTTTTAAACACATCTGACTGATGCATGCTTTGAAATTGGTGTAGTGCTTGAAATCAATGTTTGAACTGTCAAACAGTATTTAGGGAGCTGTGTGAAAATTATTTTTAGGGGCTAGCTGTTTGGAACCCCTTTTATTTGACCTTTCTAGTTCATTCACTGTGTGAAATGGTTGAAACTATTGAAACCCAGTTTTTTGATTGGCTGCCCCTGTAAACAGAAGGTTAAATAGCAGGTGGGTGGGGCTTATTGTGGATGTCTGCTTAAACTGACTGACAAGGATTCAGTTCAATTCAGTTTTAGTCACATAGCATCAAATCACAACAGCAGTCTCTTCAAGGTGCTCTATATTGTAAGGTAAAGACCCTAAAATAATACATAGAAAACCATCAATCAAACGATCCCTTAACAGCAAGCACTTGGTGACAGTGGAAAGGAACTCCCACTTGACAGGAAGAAACCTCTGTGGCAGCCGTCTGCATTCATCAGCTTGGGGTGTTGGGAGTGAGATGGGACAAAATACACACTGTGTGCGAGCTCTAGATGTGCACATATCTGTGTATATGGGGCGTTTTTTTTATATATTTTTTTCGCTGTTTTTTATGTGCGTCTCTGTTCCTGTGCCTGTATGAGAGAACTTTAAAAAGAATATCTTTTCTTTAATTTTATTTAACGAATGAAAGGATTTTTATGTATTTTAAAGGGTCACCTAGTGACATGCATTGTAAATTAGTTTAGAAGGAAGCTGATGTGTGCCATGGTTCATGGTACACTCACTGGACACTTTATTAGTTACACTTTGCTGGTAAAAGCTTGGACCCAATTTTGTCTCCATTCTTCAAGGTACAATTTTATCAAGGTGCTAGAAAACATTCTTCTTATATTTTGGTCCATATTGACATGACAGGATCGCACAGTGGCTGCAGATTTGTCAAATGCACAGCCGTGATGCAAATCCATTGTGCCCCATCCCGAAGGTGCTCTGTTGAGGTGACTGTGGAGGCTGTTTGCGTGCAGTGAACTCACTGCCATCACTGTGGTCATAAAAGGATGGATGGTCAGCAACAATGATAAGTAGGCTTTTAAACGATGCTCGGCTGATAGTAAGGGACCCAAAATGTGCCAAGAAAATATTCCCCACAGCATTCCACCACCAGCAGCCTGAACTATTGATAAAAGGCAGGGTTTCATGTTGATTGCATGAAAAAAGCTGTTAAAAATGGTAATATTGTGTGTTTAAAAATATGGCAAATATAAAAAATGTATATTTTTAAAGCAGTACATTGTATAATACTGTAACGGGTTCTTTATTTATTTTACAGTGAAGATGAACATTTTAGTTTCCCCACCTCATTATTTTTATAACCTACTCATCAAGCATGTGCATATTTTTTGGTTTATTTTTTTTTTTATCAGCATTCAATCTCTCAATGAATACAGAAGAAAGATATACCACAAAGCAGGAAAGCACCAGATAAGGCTAATCAAAAAGGTAC